TGAGAATTCAATGAGAAAATGAAACACAATGAGAATTCCATTTGACTGTTCTCCAATAATTCCCACTAAAGAATAAATTTCAATCTGACATACATGGACTAGTAGATATATCTGATTTTCTTATTTATTGATGCTCTGAATAATGTGTTAGTCAAGTCAGTTTTGGGGTAATATTATGCACTGAATTTTATGTCTCCACAAGTCATAGTTGTAACTCTGACTTGCAATGTGATAATTAGGAGCTGGGCCTTTGGGAAGTGACTGGGTTTCGATGTGATTGTGAGAGCTTGCCTCTTATGATGGGATTGGTGCTCTTATAGAAGGAGACAGCAGAGAGCTTGCTTCCTTTCCTCTCTCTGCTTTGATGGTGGTCATTGAAAGCCAGTAAGGAAGCCCTCACTAGGGAATTGAATTAAGAGGCACTTTCATCTGGGACTCCTCAGCCTCCAGAACGATGAGATAGATTCTTGGTGTTTGAGCTTCCTTATCTTTTGCATTTTGTTATGACAACCTGAACTGACTAATTCAGGTTACAGTGTTTGTAACAATAGCTAATATGGTGGAGCGAAATATCATAATTGTCAGTTGTAGTAATGACAGAATCAGATTAAGAAAGATTTTAATATAATGGATTAATGACCAGATTAAAGGTTGAATACAAACAGTTGTGTTTAGGTTCTTATTAAAGATACCTTGCTAAGATTGGACCCCAACCATATTGATCATTGCATTAAATTTATGTGGTCTAAATAAGGCAGAGATTGGTACACTGGACTAAAAAAGGAAGACCTGATTATATGCTGTAAATATAAAGACACAGTAGCTTGAAGGTAAAATGTTGAAAAATTTTTATACAGGGAATAACTACAGGAATGTAGGACACGTGGCTAGAAAATGAGAATGCAAGGACAGGCACAATCATAATCTTCCATTATATAGATGACTCCTTTAGCATGGGGATTCATATTTCCCGAAATAGGGTTGGTAACCTCAGGGCTGCCAGCTAAGGACCCAAGATTATCCAGTCCTTAGGGAGGTGAATTTTTAGCACTAGATAAATCCCTGTTATTTTATTCTATTTTTTGGCATATTAAAATCATCTTAAATTATGTTGAGTCCTCATGTATAGTTTATATTAATTCATGTTTATAAATTTTTGGTCAAAATAAGAAAAGGCTTTTACTAAGCGTCAGTGAATTGCTACTTTTTACTCCCCCTTTCCCTTCCCTTTGCCCTTCTCCCTCCCTCCTCCTGCTTCCTACTTCTTTCCTTCATCTCCCTCCCCTCCCCTTCCCTTCCCTCCTCTTCCTTTCTCTCCTTTCCCCTTCCTCTTCCCCTCCCCTCCCCTCCCCTCCCTTCCCTTCCCTTCTTTTCCCTTTTTCTCCTCCTCCTCCTCTTCCTTCTCCTCCTCCATCCTTCCTCCTGTCCTCTTCTTTTCTTTCCTTTTTCTTTTATTCTCAATGTTCTTTCTTTCTCTCACTCTCCCCCCATTCCCATATCTTTGAAAGTATCTTATTGTAAAACATGCATTTTATTCTTTTTCTAGGCATTTTTTACTTTCCTAAACTTTTTTCTCTTTGGTCTCTATTATGAGTCAAAATATATCACAGAATAAAAAATAATTGCAGAAAGAAAAAATGGTAAAAAACAGACTGAAAAATTTGAGAGCACAGAATTTTGTTCACTATACTGTATTGGTTAGCCTGTTGTGAGAGAAAAACATTAACTGTATCCTTCAGGATTCCAACTGACTTACACATGTATATCCCCAGTTAAATATAGGAGTATTTATGAAATGAACATCATCAGAAAAAAAATCAGGGTGTGTGTGTGCACGTGTGTGCGCATGTGCAGCAGTGAATGAACTAGACCTGAAGTAGTAGGGTCTGTTATGCCATAGAGGTTAGGATAAAGACTAAAGTACAGAAATCTCAAGTAGCAGATACTGGCTCAAAACTTAGGAAAAAATGTTCTAATGATCAGAATGTCTGAAAATTGGAACAGGCTATTTTTCTAAGACTATTAATTTCAGTTATTGGAAATGGTAAAACAGAAGTTGCACTCAGGGCTGTGCCAACCTGTGTGAAACTGGGTAAATGAGGAGAAGGCACCCTGGCTGCCCCTGCGTGGATTTGTCCCCTGGCCGGTTCCATGGCTTTGTGAACTGAGAATGCCTTTCACTTCAGCTTCTACTCTCCCCTCCAGATGGGAGCTTTGTGCAGTGTCTCCTTATTAGAAACACCATAGATCAACTTGAGGAAGTAGGTTTGAGTTAAGGATTGATGCCATTCAAGGTTATGAGTTTCTATTTCCAAGGGTAGCTTGGATATAAATCAGTGCTTTAGGCGTTCCGGTCTCTGCACAGGTGAAGCACCATGCTTAAATCAAAAGTCCTATGAGAAGAATGTCATTCTTTACTTGTCTCTCAAAAGCCATTAAATGTGATCCAATTTATAACCTGCACAATATTTCCCCAAAGACTCTTACCTCACTCAAGCCTGGCCCAGTTCCCTTACACTTCATAATTGCTCCAGGGACTCTCATATACCAACCCTTCAAACTCTCTCTGAAGCCTCAGCCTATGAGGTCTTCTACCTCTCTTGTGCCTCCTCCCTCTAACCTGCATGTCCCATCTAGTTTTTCCTCTCTCTATTCTCCAGATTGTGTAAGATAGGGAAGAGGATCTGTGTTGAAAAAAATTTCCTTCTTCTTAGATTCAGGGAGAACACCAGGAAGTTGAGCAAGAGAAGATAAAATTCTTCTTTATTTTTCTCTTAATATCTTTAATTCCTGTTCTTCATCTATTTTCCTGACATTGTAACAGTATAGCCTGCAAGTCAGGCTGAGACATATTAGGTACTTCTTAGGAAATTTCAGGGTAGGAACATTGTATGTTGAAACTTCCTGAGTGCATTTTGTGTCTGCAGCTCCTTCTATTAGAGCCTAAGGAAAGAGACAAAGCAAATTATGGGGATAATCCTTACTCATAAGAACTTTAAAAACTTATGAGCCACACTGAATAAAGTCACATGAAGTAGATTTAAAGGAAGAAAACCAATAAACTATGAAAATGGTCCATGAGTAGCCTGAGGATTACCCGAATGTTGATTATACAGCATGAGAGGAACTTCAGGAATTGAGGAAGGGTTCATGGAAGGAATACTGAATAAATATTTAGAAGATTTAGAACTAGAGAAATTTGTGTAGAGACCAACTGATGAAGAGTCAAAGTGATGAGCAGGAGACAGAATACTTACTTAGTGGGATGGAGGGTGTAGGCAAGGTAGGAAGCCTTTTTCTTAGTGGAAATGCGCTCTCCCTTTTCTAAGCTCCCATATCACTTATTGTGTGACTTGAATATTAATTTATCCCCAAAATACGGTAAATGTTTAAATTAAAAATATTTATTACAGTAAAAGACACAGTGCCTCAAAATACTTCCCCTAGCTTTGAACATACGTTATTTTTCAATCACACCTCGTATTATATTTTATTGTGCTTTTGGACCAATAGAAAAATTCTTCTTAAAATATTATTTTGATCACATTATTGGTATATTTGAATTTCTGTTATCTCTGATAAAGAAACTTATTAGCAAAAGCATTGTGACCTTTCTTGCTCCCCTACCCCTCTGACTAGCTTCCTATGAACTTTTAAATCAAACAATCACAGTTCGTGTACGTAATGGAGTACACGGGACGAAGTTAAATATAACTGTTTGTGAAGGAAAACCTCTCTGTTAGGAGTGGATTTGCATTTGTCTGGTGAATCCACTTCTTATACCATAAGAATAGAGTTACAATGCTACAATTTTAAAAATGTCTCTAAATGTTTACATGCCTCAAACCTGAGCTATTGAATTGTTTGGAAATTTAACGTAAAAAATAAGATACAAAGCAAATTTTGTAGATACGCAAAAATTGAATCTCTTTCCCTCTCTCCCCTCTTTTCTCCCTCTCTCTATTTAGGATTCATTGACTTTGAAAAGAAGTATCATTGTACAGATACAAAGCAAGAGATGTCATTTTTGGAAGGCTAAGAATGTAGCTCTTCACTTTAAGAACAATAGGAGAAAGTGCAGCGCGGGTCCTTAGAAGTAGCCAAGGGATCCAGTACTTTATTACTGTCAAGACTTCCAGAAACCGGATTTCTGTTCTCTGGAAAAATGGGCATTAAAAAGTGCTGCAGCAAACTATATACATGCTATTCATTTTCTTGGCTTCACAATTTTAGCTAGGGTATTGGCTTTTTGGTTTAATTCCAGTGGCACAGCTCATAAATGCAGGCTTTTTCTTCTGGGGCTGGGGGGTGAGGGAAATAACCATAAAATAAAAATCTTTGACAGTTTGTTCTATTACAAAATGTAACATGCCTTCTTAAAAAGACCTCCTAAAAATTATCTGAACTGAGGGTACCACCACAAATTTAAAAGCTTAGGGACACTTTAAACAATAGTTTGAAGGATATGTTATTTCTCAATAAATTTCAGCTACAATAGTACAAGTATGTGAATTATACAGCTTAGAGAAACACAGAGAACTAAATGGATAGTTTTGAGATGGGGAAGAACACTAGCCACAAATATTTGTTCATTGTGATACTTATTTTCTTAGCCCATGAGATGAAATTTCAGTTTGTTTATGAGAACTAGCAATTCCTTTCCCAGACTGAGCAGTGGCTATTGAATGTTTTTGTGTGAATGAAAATCTAACCTATCAGGGAATTAAAAAGGTTAAAGACCTTTACAGTGCCAAGTCGTGTTACTGAAGTTTATAGACCTGGCAGTTGTTGGGTAACGTTGAAAATACATACTTCCTAAAGAACTGTGGCTGGATTCTCTGAAAATAATTTACACAACAGATCCCTTTGGCAGATTTATGATTTTGCATAGCTTAGAGGGAGAGACTGGACTAGCTGGATGCTTCCTGGTTTGATTAGCATAGCCCAGCCCACTTCCAACACACGCCCAGAACTACCTCATTAACCATTGGGATCGCAGCCAAAAATATAAAACTGCAGTGAATATAAAGGGAATTACTGGCGAGAGAGCTGTAGAGCAGCTTACCACTGAACCCATTACTTTTCCAAGATCAGAAAAATATTACAGTAACAGGCACCACTCCACATTCAGATAAGAATTAAAGGTTTTTATCTAGAATAATTAGCTGCAACATAGTAAGATATATAGCCCAGCTGCATCCATTTACATGCTTCTGTTAATCTCTCCTCTCTTTCTCTCTCTCTCTTATTTATTTATTTCCTGGATAGCTTTGACATTGTAAACCACAGACGAATTGAAGCCTGGCATTGAAAAGAGGTGTTCTGCAGCGATTTTTTTTTTTCTTGGCCAAAGAAGTTGACTTGTGCAAGGGGGAATCTGAAAAATGACAGGGGCAAAGAGGAAAAAGAAAAGTGTGCTCTGGAGCAAGATGTATACCCTGCATTGGGAAGACATCAAACAGTGGTGCAAAAGGCGGCTACCTATCTTGGAATGGGCACCGCATTACAATCTGAAAGAAAACCTGCTTCCAGACACGGTATCTGGGATAATGTTGGCAGTTCAACAGGTGACACAAGGTAATGTGCTGCATTTGCTTTTCCAGTTTACTGCAGAATGGATGTCACTTTGCTTCTTGGAAAAGTACTAATGATCTAGGATTGACAATTTATCTAATGAATTGAGTATTTAATGAAATAGATATTAACTTTGGAAAAATAGGTGCCATGAATATCTATGTATAAGAGATTTCCTCATTTCTTTTTAAATTTATTTTTGCTAGCAGTTAAGCATGGAACCAACTTTTGAATGGCACTACAGATTTGCAATATGAAAGTTCATACTGTTTTAGAGTAAAGAATCAGTAATTGTAGGAAAAATGAGCTTTTATAATTTGATCTTGCAAACATAATTTCCTACCTTCACTGAATCAAGCTATAAAATATCTCCTGGTTTGATACCATCATTTTTTAACTTAATTAGCAGCACACAATTACCTGTTGTAGCCTTGAGAGTTGCTGTAAGCAAGGAACAAAGCTTTCTGTACATAAAGGAGGCTCTTTGCCAAGATCATTATTTGCAAAGAGAATCCTGTATGTCTTTAGAGCTTATGTTTTACTGTGTATACAAATTTGCTTTTGTAACTTGTTACTCCGCATCTATATCTCAATAAGAAATTTAAACTAGTGAGAAGTCCGATTTTAACATTCCCAAAGCAGATTCTAAATGATATTCTGGGCTGAGATAGGTCTTTCTCTTGCTAAGAACCAGTTAATTAGTGTGTGTGTGTGTGTGTGTGTGTGTGTGTGTTTCCCCTAAAGGTATATTCATCATAGTTTTTGGCTAATTCAGGTAATTATTTTTTACCTGTAGCGAGGAAAGGAACTGATTTCTTAGCCTTGAGTATTTGGTACAGCTTTCTTGGCATAGCCTCTGTAAGTTTATATTTCCTTGCAATTTCACTGCCTCCTTGGCTTTATTATTTATACTGTTAAATTATAAGCACTCTTTTAATTAAATTATTCTGTATCTGGAATGAACTGGATTGTGTATTTGTGTTTTTAGTATGATTAGGGACATCTGCACTGGTGGCTTTAAGATCCATAATACTATCATATTTTATGGGATTCTATTTCACTGCATAGTCTTGTGTTACATTTTTAATGACCATTTTCCCAGTAGCGAACCATAGTAATTTTTTAGAAAAATGCAAAATAAATAACAGGTTAGGGAATTTCAGCATTGCCTTTTTAAAATTTTTAAATTCAACATGAAATTCGCCATGCAATTTCAAAACTTAGGTGATGCACTTCAAAAGGCTTTTTCACTATAGTTTCAGCATGTGCTATAAATTTACTTTGCATAAATTAATATGAAATGAAAGTATGCTTTTAGTATTCATTTGTTTTTACTTTTAAAAATATAAGATTAGTAAGAATATTTGGGGATATAATAAAGGTTTTTGTTGAATAGCCTTACCAATATGGTTTATATGTTAACCCTTTGGTAGTCAGTTATAGGGCTTTTATTTGGGTATAGATTTTGTGGAATTTTGTTTTGTGAGTTATATATTTTGTTGGTTATGAAAAACACATTGGTCAGTTCCCATTTGATGGGAAGCACAAAGCTTCCTCAGCAATGTATTATGGGAAGTTAACGATCTGGCTACTGCTCCTCTTGGAAGGCTACTAGGGAATGGGCAAGGTACACAGCTAGGAAGAACTTAAAAGATTTTGCTGGTGTATGAAAAGACTAATCCTTCTAAAGTACCTATGCCTTTGACACAATTCCATCAAATTTTCTCATGTTTATCAACTATGGAGAGTTAAAAATTGAAGTATAAAACTACCATTTATTCTAAGGGTCACAACAGTAACCCGTTAGATACATTATTTCTCCTTATCCTTAAAAAGTCCTGAGAGATAGCACTGTCCTATCCATATAAGGAAATGTAGGCTGAGAAGCATGAGGAATTTTCCCTGGATCTCATACCTGATAAATGGCAGAATCAAGACTTGATTCCAAAGCCAACACTCTTAACATTTTCAACTTATATTCTACACTGCCAAAATAACCAGACTTTTTACAATACCAATGTTATTACTAATAGGAGACATTTCTTTGGAAAGGTATAACTATCTTTTCCTTCAAATAATTTTTGTATTCAGGTTTCATCTCTGCAGTTTCTAGACTCAAAGGCAAAGTGACAAGAAAAATAACTGCAGTGGATACAGAATCAAGAACACCAAACCTCCTGTTTGGGTGAATATGATATTGGTGATTATCATCTGCTCCACTTAATTAGAAAAATTAGAGAAAGGGGTAATTTTTTCTATTGAATTGTAATGTAAACAATAGAAACCAAAATCTTTTTAAATTTAGTGATATTCTAAGCCACTTTCAATCACCTAGCACAGTTAGATTTTACGAAATTGTTGAAATTAATGTTTTTTGACCTACAAATATGGAAAGTTTATATGATTCAATCTAGTAAATTTTAAAATTCTTTTATCTCTATAAATTGACTTAAAATTAAAGATAGTAGAAATTAGCAATTGAGTGTTCTCTATATGTCAAATACCAAGGCATTGTTTTAAATTACCTTATTAAAGATTTCCTAATTATGAAATATAACTATTTTAGTTACTGGTATACTTGACTAGCCTAGAGCCTTTTCTGTGTTGACTGTACTCTCTCTAGTTCTCTTTCTTCTCTTGATTTTCAGACACTGCTCTTTGGTCTTTCTCTGCTACCTGTCTGGCCTCCTCCTCTTATGATCCTTTGCAGATTTTGCTTCCTGCTCCTTCCAATAAATATCAGCATCCTGGAAACCAAAGCCCTGGCCTTCTTCTTGAAAAGCATCCTAGGCAATTTCCTTTGCATAAAAGACCACTCACACCCTCTGCCCAGTAAATTCTTCTCAACCTGAGACCTACATGTGTACTCACAAAAACCTAGAATGTCCTGAAAGCGCCATCAACCGCAATGTTCAGTGTTCTAAAACAAACCGAATGGCACTGACGCCCTAGCCAGAATTATAATAATTAATAATTACAGCAATAGTCATTTTTAGGCACAAGTGTAAGCACTCTTGTTAAAGTACTTGACACATATATGAAATGAAACCTCATAGAAGATAAATAAGTTGTCTACAGTCACATAGCAAATAAGCAGAAGAGGTAAGATTTGAACTCAGGCAACCTGGCCTTAGAGATTACAGACTTGACTTGCTCTCAGTGAAAGTCCTACGAGTTGTTATTAGTTCTCCTCTTTTTTGCCCCCCTGCCCACCAGCATACAGTCACTAGGTTCTTTCTTTTCTGTCCTCTAAATCTCTTCCCAACCAAATAGTTTTGGTTCACAACTTCTGCTGCCTTCTTTCTGCATTGTCTTCAACTCCTGAAACATCTTGAGTCTTCATTCTTGGCTCTGTCTCCATCTGTAGACCATATTCCATAATGCAGCAGTGAGAGTTAGAAAAAGTTTGACTATACTCGTTCCCTGTTCGGAATTCTTTAATAGCTCATTTTCTCTTAGTATAAAAGCCCAATTCTTAAGCACATCCAATTTGATGATTAATAATTGGGGCCTCTTTATATAAAGCTCTCCTAAAAGAGATCCCTCTTCTGAGAATCCCTCTCAATCTCCTGGGAAGACTTGTGTTTTCTTCCCTCCCACTCCTGGTGTACTTTTCTTTTGGTACCAGGGATCAAACTCGGGACCTTGCACTTGCAAGGCAAGCGCCAGAACCACTGAGCTAAATCCCTGGGCCCCTGTTGTACTTTTTACATATCTCTGTGATAGGCTTTACTCAACACATTGTATTATAAAGTTTTGGCGCAACTCTTTTGAAACCGGTCTCCAAGCTCTTGAGACATTGTCTTCCTCTTTTTATTCTTACCAACTTGTAATTGCCTAGCATACAGAAGTTAGTTTTCAATAAATAGTACAAGAATTAAAATATTCTAGAAGCTACTGATTGTTCTCTTGCAACATACTGCCACTGTAGGAAGGAAGTTGAGTTTAAATTAATTCTTGTTTTAAAAACAAGTGTGATAAAGATACTGATAGAGAAAAGGTATATTAAAAATTGAGTAATTAATTTCTTCCCACTTCTCTTATTTTCTTGAAGTCATAAACTCGTGGCCCTCTAGACAAACCTGGTAAAGACTTCGTTGTCTCAGGATCAACTTTTTCTTCATCCAACATTAAAAGTATGGGTAGTTCATATAAAAATCCAAATACCTAGCTTTCACAAAGTGGAGACAGAGCCATACAGAACCCACATCCCCATGTGACAGACTTCTACTGGCCCTCATCACAGGTGATTCCCATTGTTCAAGGCATGTGCTTTGCATTCTGCCATGGTCCCTGCCACTCACCGCCCTTCTTGTTTGTATCGCCATTACTTGCCCAGCCCTACGGGTGGCTAACTTTGTTTCCCCTGCCAACACGAGTCTCAATGTGTTTTGTTGAGATGCTTTCAACTCACCTTTAAATAAAAAACCTTTTAAATAAAAAAATCTCTTTAGATTACATAAAACTAGGTTCTTAAACTGATTCATAGAACTGATCCATGCCTGTGTACCTGGCCTCATACATTCCAATATACATGCCTTCTTCATAATCCTATATATTTTGGTTACTTTAAAAAAAAAAACTATGCTGGAGAGAAATTGATAGACTTTAAAAGGGTGACTCCCTCACTATAGTAAATAAACATAAATATACATGTGTTCATTTCACAGAAAGATAAAAGAAACTTTAGGTCATTCTTTTATCCTGTTTAAATGTTTCTTAGAAACTATCTGTGTTTTTAAAAATATTTTTAAAAATTCTATAGCTCTCATTACTATCATCAAGTAAGAGCCAGTGTTTAACTGATATCTTGAAAGTCCTCACCAATGAATATATTTGTAGATGAGCAAGTATTTGTAGAGAATGTCATGGTCTTAAAATATGTTACCAACGGGGTTGGCAAACTAACCAGTATAAGACTGGTCTTTAGAGTATTTAGTTCACATTCTAGCCTACATGACCACTTAGGGGTTATTTTGTTTCCAGCAGAACAACTCAAGCAT